CCCCACCCCCGCGCATGCCCCCCACACATGCAGTCCCACCTCACCCCCCTCCGGGTCTGGGCCTGCCCCCGGCTAGCTACCCACCTCCCGCTGTGCCCCCAGGAGGACAGCCGCCCGTGCCCCCTCCCATCCCTCCACCTGGCATGCCTCCCGTCGGGGGGCTGGGGCGGGCTGCCTGGATGAGATAACAGGGCGCCTTTCGTGCTCTCGTTTTGTAACAGGCTTTCCTAATCAGCCTGGGTAGTTACATGGAGAAGCCGCAGGGTACCTTGTACAGTGCTAGACAGTTGCAGGATGGGAAGAAGGGACTGGACCCTGGCCTGAGTCGGCGTGGTCCTCACGCCGAGGGTGGGACCGCAGCATCAGTGCCCCGGGCCTCACCGTGCAGTTGTTTACAGTTTCCGCTCGCGTCTGAGAGTCCTGCACTGGGTTATTTTGTACTAGTGAAATGCTAACCAGCCATATTGGCTCAGTAAATAGCTTCAGTAAGGAGTGAATTTCCTTCTAGAAATCAGTCAGTGCCTATTCTTCCTGGAAACTCGATTTTAAATAGTCCAGTTCCATCTGAAGTCCGGCTGTCGTCGCCGTTCCAGTCAGTGATTCCCTGTGACACCCAGTAGTCAGGTGAACCCCCTTTTTCATTTGCAGGTATTTGCGTCCTTTGTATTAAAATTATTTGAAGGGGTTGCTTTGTTGGATGACTTTTTTTTTCTTCTTCCAGAGAGGAGAGAGATGTACTTGGAAGGTAATGTGTGTTTACATCTATTTGCAAATTCCTGTACTTAGAGATACATTTTTTTTAAGTGTAAATGTAACAGCATACTGTGAATTCCATCTTGGTTACAAATGAGACTCCTTCAGTCAGTTACCCAAATAAAATCAGCTCTGAAACTGCCCCCTTGTCATTTGGGGCGAAAGATGGGGCTCTAGACCCTGAGACCATGGGGAGAGGGGCAGGGCAGCCATCTGCCTGCCGCCCTCAAGGGTCCCCTTCTTCCCCTGGGCCTGAACGAGGACCGCTTCTTTGGGTGCTTGCACATAGCTGAGTGGATGCCAGAGGCTGCCTCACCGCCAACTAGGCGCTGCCAGCCCCTGATCAGAGGCTGTGGGTCCCAGGGAACCATGAGAGCTGGCCAGGCCGGCATCTGCGCAGGACACAGGCTCCTGCGGTGGGCCAGGTCTGGACTGGAAGGGGACCAGTCCGAGGCCACACTGGCAGGCCCCACCACCCGTCCACCCTCTGTCCCGCCAGAGACCAGCAGTGAGCACCAGCCAGGAGGCTCGCAAGAGGCCTTTATTTATCTAGCGCAAAGTATACACTGTCACAGTCTTGTTTGTTACTCCTTTTACTAAAATAGTTCAAATCAATGTCTTTAACCACACTATCAAAAAGTTCTATTTCTCTCTCCACAAATCAGAGTGGTTCAACAGAAGGCGGGGACGGGCGGGAGTCCACGGGCTCTGGGCTGCGCAGCCAGCGGGCGGCAGCAGGTCTCACCTCGGTCTCGTTCTGCAGCTGAGCATCGCTGCCGGCCCAGGACAGGAACCAGACGTTCCAGTCCGTTTCCAAAAAGCAGCACAAACACTTTCCCCCCGCAGTATGAAAAATATACACCTCTACCGTTCTGCAGTCATGCATTTTAGTTTGTTTCTTAAAAAAAAATCAGTAGTATGTATTTTGTTTCCCATCAAGTTTCAAGAAAAAAAAAAAAAGGTCACTTTTTTCTCTTTAAACACTGGTATGTAGCTAATAGCTTTTGGATAAAAATGTGCCACCCTAAGAAGATATGTGCTCAGCAGATTCTGACTCCAGGATAGGCAAGGCCACCGGGGCTGGAAGGGCGACCTCCGTCACAGTGGGGACAGAAGCCAGCTCGAGCAAGCTGACCCGCTGGGCTGAGGTCCAGTGTCAGCACCGGGAGAAGCCATCCCCGCCCTGGCCCTCCCGGGGCTTTCCTAGAAGGGGGGGTCACCAGGTGTCACCCTGAGTTGCAGGCTCCTGGGGTCCCCACAGCAGGTGGCCCCATCGGTCGGGCTGTGGCTCCACTACTGATCACTGCACCCAGCTCCTGGAGTGGCTGCCAGCTGTACCCGCAACTGTCTCCGTCCCGTCCCAGACAGGCGTCCCAGCTGTGCGGGCTCGGGGCACAGCAGGGGCTGCCGCTGGCGGGGGAGGGCCACGCCCCGGGAGCCTGCCTTATTGCTTATTTCAGTGGTGGCCAAGCCATCCTGATCCAACCTGACTCCCATGGGCTCCCGGGGCTGGACCCCCACCCGGTGTGCGCCCACAGCCCTGAGGGCGCTGCTCGGCCAGTCCAGTACCATGGCCAGCAGAGGGGTGCAGACGGGCTCGCACCTGCCCGCAGCGGCTCCCCGACAGCCCGTGCTGCTGCTTTCCCCTGAGAGTGCTCGGCCCGAGAGGGAGGTGGCCGATGCGCAGGACCCCTCGGGCGGACGGTGCTGGGTGGGGCGGGGGCAGGGAGCCGTCCGCACACCCTCGCGTGGCCCCCGCCTCCGCCAGGACCTGACACAGGACCACCTCTTTGGGCTCTTCAGGCACTTGCCTGAAGCTCCAAGGACAGGGACCGGCGAGTAGGGAGAGAGCGGGCGGCTGATGGCGGGGGCCTGAACAGAAGTGAGTGGTGTGCCAGGGGCAGCTGGGGCAGCGTGACCCCCTCCCAGGCCAGGGTCCCACCTGCTACGCGCCGCAGTGTGACCTACCCTCTGGGCATCTTCCTGTCACCCCTCTGGCTTACAGTGACCGCACCTAGGGGCACATCTAAACCACAGGCCCTGTGTGGAGGGCCTGATGCTGCCACTAGAGCTGAGGACATGGAGGCTCAGAGAGGAGACGGCAAGGCAGCTGAGCCCAGGCCTCCAGCAGCCACCCGCTTGGCTCAGCTGGGAAAGGGGACAGAGGCCATCTAGAGCTAGGTGGCTTCAACCACAAGGGGGACCCCACTCACCCAGCAGTACCCAGCAGTGCCCAGAGAGCCTGAGCGACACGCTGAAGGGCACACAGCAAGCTAACACCAGAGCCGGCACAGGCTCCTCCCTTCTCGGGAACGGAACTTGCCCCGGAGGCCCTGCAGCTCTGTCCTGCGGCCCCGGGTGCAGCCAACGCTGGGGAGGCCACGGCTGGCCACAGCCCCAGCCACGGCCCAGCTCTCCCCAGCCAGGACAGGGAGATGGGACAGAATGTGTCGAGGATGTCGGGGTGTGCAGTACAGACAGGCAGCAGCTGGCCTCGGAGGCTGGCCCGCCCCAGGTGGTGGTCCCCGGCGAGCGCTCAGGACTCAGGGTCAGAGGAGCCGCCGCCTGCCAGCACAGCCGTGGTGACTCCTTGTCCACAATGCAAGGCCCCCGCCACAGCAGGGGCCAGAAGCAGCACCACCTATGTCCGCTTTAGGCGCTGGTGGGTAGTCTGCGCAGGGACATCCAGGGGAGGAAGGCATGGCGAGATGCCCTCCACCGGGGGATGGACACTGGGCAGACCTGGCCCAGCATCCCTCTCGCTCACAGGGCCGGGGCACAGAGGGACTGAGGCCATCCAGGCCACTGGGCTACAGGGAGCAGGCGGCGGTTTCTTGTCCTCCCAGTGTGCTGGTGTGTGAAGTGGGAGACGGGTGCCTGGTCTTCGATGTTGCCACAGCAGCCAGGGCGGGCCAGGTCCTATGTACAATTCACCACGGAGACGGCGGCGCGGCGGAGGTCCAGGCAGGGCCAGTCCTGGTGTGTGCAGCACCACCTACAAAGGCCCCTTGAACTGGTTCCCGGACAGATGCTGCCGGATGGAGGGCTTGGAGCTGGCAGCGTCTCCCAGCTTCCTCCAGACCACCTGTGGGGGGGGCAGGACATGAGAGGAGGGCTCGCCCCAGCCCCCCTGCTGCCCTGCTCTGCAAAATCACACACATCCTCAAGCTGCTAGGAGAGGAAACTGAGACTACAGGAGGCCTGGAGGGGCGGAGACCCATGGTCTGCCCACTTGCGCTCGTGCTTGGCCTGGAGCAGGTCGCTGTCCAGGAGGCAGCACCCCATAAAAGCCTCAGACTGGCCCTGGGCACCCCCTTCCTTGCTGGCTCCTCCTGGAAGGGTCTAATGAGGCGACAGATGGTGGTCAGAGGGGTCAAAGATAAGGCTCTGCTGGCAGACCCAGGGCCAGCACAGCTCCCAGAAGCAAAAAGAGCCCAGCCTTACAGGCCCGTGGGGCACAGCTTACAGGTGCCTGGGTCTTCCACCTGTGCCTCCAGCTCCATGTATTATGTTCAAGCCAGCAGCCACCAGGGGGCACCAAGGGACCAAGAGCCAAAGGGCCAGACCCTGGCAGGAGCAAACCAGTGCTGGGAGTGGGGAGCCCAGCTCTGTCCAGAGCCCCTGGGAAGGGACGGATCTGGGAGGGACAGGCAGGCAGCGAGTGACCACAGGCCAGGGCTCTGGAGCCTCCGACACCTCCCCTGCAGCCGCTGAGTTCCCCCGGCTGAGCGAGTCCCACACAGGGAGGGGTCTGACCACCCCGGGCTGGGCCCAGGCCCCGGCTCACGTTGCACATCTCTCGGACAATGGCCTTCTCCTTCTCACTCAGATCCTCTTCGCAGCTGTCCTGGAGCTGCCGGTCCAGGTTCTCGTGCACCTCCAGGACCTGGGAGGAACAAGCCCCAGGCTGAGGGGCCAAGGCCAGCAAGTCCCTGACTCCCAACTCTGCTTCCCACTGCAAAGCGGACCTGAGGCCCCCAAGCCACCCACCCAGCCCCCCGGGGTGCAGCGTATGGAGTGGCAGGTTGTCTCCCCACCCCATGACGCTGTGGACACACAGGAGACACTCCCAGCTCCCGGGACAAGGGGAGACAGGACAAAGCCAGAGAGGGTAGGCACGGGGACCCTGCTGGACCCACTCCATGAGTGGCACAGGGCTCTGAAGACAGCCACACGGTCTGCCGGGATGTGGCGGCCACTGCCAACCCACACGGGACAGGCGCCGCCCCGCGGGACCTTCCCACTGCACCCTGGGGCTGATCCTGACTCGGCAGAGCTGGGCTTCGGGTCCAGCCCCACACCTGCCCCAAATCTCCAGCCTTAGGGGTGCACCTGCCTCGGCCACCCTGGGCCTCAGTTTCCCTAGCCGCACAGGTTCAGGAGGGCAGACGGGTGGCACACTCCTGTGCACAGCACAAGACGAAATCCTACCCCCGCTCCTCCGACGCCCACTGCCCAGAGATGGCGCAGGGGGGGCAGGGAGGCCTTACCTTCATGGCGTGCACCACCGCCTCGGGCTTCTGTCCTGCCGAGCTGTAGCTAGGGGGTGGCGAGGGCAGCTCAGGGACGGGGCAGGCCGGGCCCTGCAGGGGAGCCACAGTCTCAGCTCCACCTGGCCAGGTCCGGGTCACTCGGAGGGCCTGAGACGCCTTCCGAGACCCAGTACACAGCAAGAAGGGGGCCGGAGCGGTCCCCCACGTCCTGCCTGGCCCAGGCCACTCCGCACTGCTGTCACAGCCTCCCCAGAGGGGTCTGGAGCCTTCCGCGGGCCTGGCGGCCAAGCCCACACTGGGCTGGACCTCTCCCAGGCCACCCCCACAGTGTGACACAGTCCCCGTGGCCCAGGAAGCACGGGAGCCTCCCAATGCCAGCCCAGACTGCAGGGCCTCCATGGCCCGGGCCAGGCTTGTTGTGTGGGAAAAGGAACAAGGATGGAGAGGGGGTGGGTGGTGTCCGCGCTGGGCTACAGCAGGCCTGGCCGCACTCCCCGCATCGGCCAGCAGGGGATGCCAGACACACACATGCAGGGAGGCACAGACTTGGTGCCTGATCCCCAAGAGCCCAGCCCTGCCCTGTGGGCACCGCCACCCTGTCCTAGGGGAAGACCCGGTACCCGCTGGCCCTGGCACTCCGCACTGACTCTGAGCTGCTTGCTCTGTAAGCAGTCAGCTCAAGACTGATTCCCTGAGCGGCAGCAGGAAGATGCGGGCATCTGTGCAGTTGGCCCTGCCTGGCCCCCGCCGCACCTGGGACAGCAGGTGCCAGTGAGGTCTGGGCCTGGCACCCTGCAAAGGGCGCCGGCCACTGCAGGTAAGATGCACGATGTGTGACAGACGTGCTGGGGCAGGGGGGGGCAGGGAAGGGGCGTGCCCACCCCCAGGGTCCCGTGGAACCTGCACACACTTGGACCTGACACTCCGCACCCGCAGCAGTCTGAGGGAGGCCTGCCCCGGTGCTGGGTCTGCGGGACACCAGAGCTGGGCTGGAACTGAGAAGAGCACTGCTCCGAGAACTGAAAACACAGGTCCGGAGGCCTGTGTCCCTGGGTGTCCCTGCCGTCTCCTCAGGGTGGCCCAGAATGCAAACGTCCCATGCACAGCGGCAGCCGGATAAGAAACACACAGTCTGTTCACACAGCAGGACAGAATGCAGCTAAAGAGGGCTGATGCAGGCAGACCTCAGAACGAGACACGAGAGGCCACAGGCCATCTGATCCATCTGCATGAAAGGTCCAGAATGTGGCTGGGGGTGGTGGCTCACACCTGTAATCCCAGCACTCAGGAGGCTGAGGCAGGAGGATCACCACACATTTGAAGCCAGCCTGTTCTACATAGCAAGATCTCATCTCAAAAAAAAAAAGTCCAGAATGGGCAAAATCCGAGGCAGAAAGCATACAGGTGAGAGCCAGAAGTGGGCAGAGGAAGGTGGCATAACTTCAGGGGGTGCAGGGTTGCTTTCGGGGAGAGATTAAAATGTCCTATTTCAATGACTGTACAGCTTTGGGTTCACTAAGAACCACTGGATTGTGTACTCAAAAATAAAGCCAACCAGGAAAACAAAGTGTGCGGACCAGCTTCGCTCCCAGAGGTGGCTGACAAAAGCCACCTCCACCCTGGCTTCCAGGGACAGTCAGGGGCAGGGAAGGGGCATGCTCCGTCTCCCTGGGCCCCCCTGCCGGACCTGCGCACAGTTGGACCTGCCGCGCCCCACCCCACACAGGCCGAAGGAGACCTGCCCTGGTGCTGGAGCGGCATCGCGAGCGGTCCTTGAGCCCCACGTGGCAGGACCCGCCTCGGACCTGCCGCCACAGCAGCCCTTCACAGTCCGCAGGCTGCTGGAGGCTGCCCAGGGACTGCCGCTCCCCTACCCCGCTCCCCGAGCAGCGCAGGCAGAGGGCACCGAGGGGCAGCCGGGGCGGCGTCACTGCTCAAGGAGCCCTCATCGCCAGGCGGTCAGAGGCGTGCCGGGCTGCAGGCCGCTGGATAAATATTTGGACTGTGTCGTCAGCAGGCTGAGCTGCCTGCACAGCCTCAACAGCGCGGGACCGGAGAAGCATGGCACGAGCCGCCCCGCGAAGGCTGACATCGGGGTACAGGGCCCCCCAAAGGGCCAGGGCGCTCTGGGCAGGCTCCTTCTGCTCGAGGAGGGCCAGAGGACCTGGACCCTGCTGCCACACAGAGGACAGTCGTGTCGGCCCCCACCGCCCAGGGCACCAGCTCCCAGGGGCCACCGCCTCTCTTGGAGTGGACACCAAGGCCTCCGTGACCATCTCAGGACAGAACCCACCCCACGAGCTCCTCCACCCCTCAGCTATGAAGCCGGGGGCCAGCCCTGCCCCAGCTCCAGGGCCAGCCGGCTGGCCTCGTCCCCCTGTGCCTAAGCAGTGACATAGGTCGGGGCTGAGCCTAGGAAGATGTCCTGGGGCCCAGACACTGCCCTGCCTGCCCAGTCCTTGTCCCACGCAAGGCTTCGCTGGTGGCCTCCCTGCTGGCCCCGGGGACCGGGCCCTGGCCCTGTCCACCTGACCTGGACCCAGCAGGGATCGAAGGCAAGCGCTGTGGGCCCTGGACAGGGCACCAGCCTGTCTGGGCCCCCTCTGCCCCACTGTCCGGGGTGGAGACTTACATTCTGCAGGGAGTCCTGGTAGGAGGGTGGCAGGGACGAGAGCTGGGACTCGGAGTGGTAGGGTGAGAAGCCTTTCCGCAGCGTCCGAAACTCTCCGGAGCCCGCCTGCCAGGGCAAGCAGAGAAGGAGTTAGGCAGAGCAGGTGAGGGGGCCCCGCCCTGGGGCGCTGGTGCCGACCGCTCCTCGATGCTCCTCGATGCAAGCGGCCTGCCCTCCGCCATCCCCATGGCTCCTGGGCCCAGCTCTGCACTGGAGAGTCAGGGGCCCACCAGGCAGGCTTTGGGACCCCCTCAGCAGGTCCTGGAGTTTCCCCTAGAATCCGAACAACCAGCGCAAGGGAGGGAGCAGGAGGAACACCAGGCAGGCGCGAGGGACCTCAGGCGGTCCCCGAAGGGCACAGCAAACTCCCCAGAAGCCGGGGCTGGGGGTGGAGCCAGGGGCTCCTCAGTGGGCGTGGCTCCAGCCCCTCTCCAGCCAGCAGCCCCCACCCAACAGACACCCTTCCTCCATGTCACAAAGACTTGGGGCCTCTTTGGGGCCGCTCTTTCCCACTTCGAAGGAACTGGGAGAAGGCTGTGGCTAGTTGTGACCCCAGGGGACTTGGGTGTGACCCAAGATCACAAGGCAGTGAGGAGTGGGGACGAGGTGGCCCTCAGAGGGCCCAGCAAGTGTCATCGGCACAGGGGGTCTCCCCCACGGCCTTGGCCATCAATGGGACGGCTGTGCCTGTGACTGGGGTCCTGCCTGGGTCAACAGAGGCATCCAAGGCCCAGGAACTGCACTGGGCACAACGGCATGTACCCACAATCCCAGCTACCCAGGAGGCTGAGGCAGGAGGAGCACTTGGGCCCAGGGGTTCAAGACCAGCCTAGGCAACAACCACAACAACAAAAGCTAGAAAATCGTCCTTGATTCAGTGCAAGCGGTCCCTCTCCCATCAGGTACCAGGAAGAGCAAGGCACCCACCCTGCCTGAGCCAGCACCCACTCACCCCTGCCAGCGGCAACCCCATCACAGCCACCTGGGCCTCCCTGGGTGTCCCCAATCCATCCCTGCTCAAAGGTTAAAAAAAAAAAACCCAGAGGCCGTGTGATAGTCACAAAGCAGTGTCCAAACTGTGTAGTAGCACACACCAATAATCCCAGCACTTGGGAGGCTGAGGCGGGAGGACTGCTGCGAGTTCAAGGCCAGCCCAAGCTACACAGCAAAAACAAAAGGAGACTAAGGGGGACACTAAGGGAACTCCTGGGCGCCACGTGCTGGTATGGAGATCGCTGGCTGAGCCTTCAGCCCCTACTTCCTCGGGAGGAGGTGTGTGCCGTGGGGTGGGGGCGCTTTTTTAATTAGCAGCATACAACTCCCACCCCTGCCTCGGGCAGCAGCCAGGAAGATCTGCACATCACGGAATCTGATTAGTGCTACAGGGCAGGCAGGAGAGAGCCGCATCTCTCATTAAGCGGCATCGTGCGTAATGGCGCAGCAAATGGGGACCCATTTCCGCACTCCAGCCCAGATTACAGCCCTGCCGCTTTGCTCATGGCCCATGGCAGGATGCAGTCCCTCGGCTGGAATCACTACCCTCCTCCCTGTGCGGACCTTGCGGCCCACTTCCAGGGCTGGTGAGCGGCAGCAGAGCTGGGCCAGGAAGAAAGGGACCGGGGGCTGTGGGGCCACCACAGAGGCCGCAGAGTTGAGGACAGCCCAGGGCTCCGTCCAGGGCCCGCACTGCAGGGCCACCTGCGCACAGCCTGGTTCGCACTCGCTGTGTGGCCGCCGGCTACTCCCGACCCTCTCTGGGCCTTGGTAATGCCGCCAGGGCTCCCCAGCAGCAGGAGAAGCCGATCCATCGCCCCGCCGTTCACCCCTGGGATGCAGGGACCCAGAGCGGTGGGGCTCACAGGGGCAACCCTGGGGAGAAGCCTCATGAGCAACGTCACGGGTGCCGGACAGGAAAGGGCAGGAGACTGCCAACCTGCCCGGCCCGATCACCCGGGCTCCCTGTCGGGAGCGGTTGAGGCTGGCGGCTGGGGCGGGAACCCCTTCGCGGGCTCGCCCCCTCTTCCTGCCCCAGCAGGCTTCAGACACACAGCCTGAGCCCAGGTGGTACCAGGGCCCCACTGTGTCCTGGGCCTGGCCTGTGCCTCACAGCAAGGCTCGGGCGGTGAGTGCAGGTGGAAGACAGGCCCTGGGCTGCCCAGTGTCCCCCCAGGCAGCCCAGCCACAGAGGGCTGGACACACCAGAGCGACCAGGACAGGGCCCATCAGCAGGGCCCACACAGTAACTGGACATATCCCTTGGCTACAGGCCACAGTGCTGTGGGGTGGCAGGGGCTTCCTGTGAGGCATGGGGCGCCTGGGGGCTTCTCCTGCCTGCGTGGCCTCCAGGGCCCCCGGGGTCCCTCAGGATAGTGCAGCACCGCACGGCAGGGCTCAGTGAGGGTGGAGGCCAGGCGTGGCCAGCGTCCAGAACCACGGGCAGGGGCAGCACCACGGCCACGCCTCACCAGACCCCAGGAAGGTTCAGCGAAAGGGCGCTACCGGAGCGGGCAATCTCAGGACCAGGAGAAGCGGACAGAGAAGAAGCCATGGGAGGCCCGAGAGCCGGCGGGGGTCCCGAAGGGCCCATCTCACGCCACAGTGGACCTCAGAGCTGGGCACAGCGCAGGCTGAGCCAGCCTTGCTCTCCTGGGGTCAGACAGCAGCGCAGCCCAAGGCATCCAGGGTCACTCATGCAGGCCCTCAGGGTGCGGCCCTTGCAGTGCCCAGCCTGTGCCCAGCCTGCACTGAAGCCCTGGAGACTGGGTCCAGGACCTGCAGGCCAGGCGGGCCCAGCCCTTGCCCACCACCACATTTCTGCGGCCCAACACACATCACCAGCCCTGCTGACCGCCCAGGCAAGGGCGGCCCACGGGAGTCCCTGCAGCACTTAACGCAGCTCTGCCCAGACAGGGCAGGTCCCAAGAGCGGCTAAGAGCCAGGACTTGCGCCCCCAGGGTGCCGGGGACAAGGACACAGCACACAGCACACAGCACACGGCACACGGAACAGCCCCGCCGCCCAGCACCACGGCAAACCCCGCCCGGCACAGCTCTACCTGCAGCCAGCGTCTTGGGTGGCCGTAGGGGCGGGGCAGCTGGAAGGAAAGAGAGCGATGTCACCGGCAACCCCAACCTCGGCCCATCACTGCTGCCCAGGCCTCCCTGGACACCAATCAGCCCGCAGGGGCCAGAGGGCCAGGGCAGGGGGCCCCCAACACCCCTCACAGTGGCTCTGTGTCTTTAGAAACCCCACATCTAACCAGAGCAAGCTGAGCACCCACTGCCCACCAGGCCCCTGGGGTACCCACCCCAAAGCTCAGGGTCCCAGCAGCACCCCAGGGAAAAGCGGTCCCCCTGAGGGGCCTGCAGGTAAGCCCTGGACTGGAGCCACTCCAAGGTTTCTCCCGGCCTCCGCTCCGTCCTCGGGGGCGGGCGACCCGTTAAATCCCTCACAAGAGCTGCCTCCCGCTGGACCTGCTTTGCACTTTGTCGTACATCTCCAAGGGAACTCTCAGTAAACCAAGGGGAGCAAAGGGGCTGCACCGCGCCCGAGGTCCAGAGCCCCCCATTCCATTAGCTCTCAAGCAGGCGGTGTAACTGGAAGGTGGCTACGGGACAGTTTCTTTCGCTTCTGCCCAGCGGGCGCAGCGCCCCCGCCCCCTGCAATCCCGTCCCCCAAATCCCATTTTCGGACGTGACGTGTGGGCCACCCAGCACTGCATGGCCTGAGGTAGACCAACCCAGGGGCCAGGTCCCACCCGCCACAGTGGCCTGGGCCCGTCCTGCCTGGTCCCCCTGCAGGGCTGGCAATTGTCCTGGTGTGGCAAGTAGGGGCCAGGCCAGGGGGCACCGGGCGAGGAGCAGGAATGCAAAACCCAGAGCTCCTGGAGCTGGACCCAGCAGAGTGAACCCTGGCCGCCCGGGCAGTACGCATGCGTGTAGACAGCTCACACACGGGAGACCACGACAGCTGGCCACGGGCCCCACGGCCAGCGGCCCCCGCTAGCGGTGCTTTCCCAGTCACCATCGGTGGCCATGTTTTACAGAAGGAAGAACAGAGGCGCAGAGATGTTAGCCCAGTTGCCCAGGGCCACCCAGCTGACAGGTGGCGCCAGTGAGCCCTGCCCAGCACCTGGCTCCCCACGGAGGCTCCTTCAGCCCCCAGTGCTGGGGCACAGGGGTGGCAATGCCAGTCTCAACCTGCGCACATGCCAGACAGCCCATCTGCTGGGAGGCTGGCAGGGGGAGGCTCTGGCAGGGTGGGACAGACTTGGGTTCTGTGAAGAAAACACCCAGAGTCCTAGAGACCCACAGGCCCTGCTGTGCAGGAAGGCGCGGGGTGGGGCATGGTGGCCAAGCGCAGCCGCCACACAGGCAGAACGGGGCACCCTCAGCTGCTCAGCAGGCAGGTGACCAAGCCACAGCCACAAGAGTCCCGCAAGGCCAGCACCTCAGGAGGGATCCACGGACCAGGACAGCCCCACCCTCCTCGGACACAGGGAACGTGACTGAGGGGTCAGCACTGCCCCCGCTCCTCCACCCAAGGGACAAGGCTCACTGGGGAAGTGCCAGGCCCGGAGTGTCACTCGGGCCTTGCAAAGTCTGAGCCCAGGACCAGGCAAGCATAGGGTGGGCCAGCTCCACCCAGGAACACCTGGCCTCCCTGGACCAGAGTCCTCCCCGTCCCAACCCACTTCCCATCCCGACACACTTCCCTTCAGCAGCAGGCCCACACCACCCCGTCTGGAGGCTCAGCTGTGCCCCCTCAAATCTGCGCGCGGAGGTCCCCAGCCCTGGGACCTCAGCAGGGGAGTTTGGAGATCAGGTCCTTAGAGAGGTGACCAAGGTAAAGTGAGGTCACTAGCCTGGGCCCTCGCGCCGTGACTGCGTCCTCGGGAAAAGAGAAACTAGGACAAAGAACGAGGAGGATGGAAGGACACAAGGAGGGTAGCACCCACCAGCCCGGGACAGAGGCGCAGGGGGACCAACGCGGCCCCGCCTTGACTTTGGATTTGAGCTCCTGACCCCACAGAGCTGTGGTCATCTGTGCCTCCCAGTCAGGGAAACTCAGTTGCAGCAGCCAGAGCAAGCTAACGGAGCATCTATGCCAGGAAGCCCTGCCCTCGTGACTCAGTTTCCCCACCTGTGCCTGGTACAAATCCCAGGCTGCTCTTTTTGTTTTGTTTTGTTTTGTTTTTTTCCGGTACTAGGAATCGAACTCATGACCTTGCACTCGCCAGGCAGACGCTGTGCCGCTGAGCTAAATCCCCAGCCCGCCTAGGCCGCTCTTACTGGCCCTGCAGCACCTGGTGGGATGGGGGAGGGGGCAGTACAGGACACAGAGGTGGAGCAAGCTGGGTCCGTCGGTTGCCAGCCTGCACAAGGCCCGTCCTCTCTCGTGGAGCCGGCTTCTCCTGCACACACAAAGGAGGCCCCCTGGATCAGCCCAGCGGGGTCACAGCCCCCCGCCCCAGGCAGGCAGGCAGGCGGCTGGGCACGGAGAATCCTCGGGGAAAATAATAACGTGAGTGCAGGGAGTCTCGAGATGAATCATCACAGAGGAAGCGGCTGTGTTGGTGAAATTTTAAAGCCAACACGAGAAAGAAAATACGAACTGCAATACAGTAATTTAGCCTGTGAACACTCTGGCACACTGTTAATTAAAGCTATTTTAGAATTAAATAGAGGCCACGGGGGAGGGGCAGGCGTAAGCCCAAGGCCATGTCTCCTTGGGGTCTCACAGGACCAGAACGCTGCTCCTGGGTCTCGCTTTCGCTCAGGCGCAGGCAGATTCCCTGCGTTGTATGGGCTGGAGTGTTCTGCACAATTTGGTCTCACTGACGAGACTGAAATGCCAGCATCATAAAATCTTACATGCCAAGAGGCTGAGGCTACATCTCCTCCAAGATTCCCAAACACGGTCATCCAGCAACACAATGACTCCTCCAAAGATGGTGCCCTTGCTCCCCGGAGGGGCTCCCGTGTCAGCGTTTGATCCCGAGCAAGGGCCAGGTGGTCAGGGACCTGAGGGCTGGAGGCCTGGCTGAGCCCAGGGCACAGGGAGGAGGCTGCGTGGCCTCACCTTCCTGGTGTCCCTTAGAAAGCAGCCCCATGAGTCTCTCTGGTGGGCCAAAGGTAAGGTTGGACTTTGTGTCCCTAAAGGCAGGCCCCTCCTGGTCACCCCCTGCACCTCTGGGGCCATGACACAGGAAATCTCATGTGCAGTGGTCAACTGCACAGAGAAACTGAGTGCCCATTTTACAGATCAGGAAACAGAGGCCTGGAGTAGCTGTGGGGTCTTCGTAAAGCTGAACCCAAAGCTGAGCAAGGGATGCATCCCCTGGCCCCTCCTCACCCTGCCTCTCCACCTTTCTCCCCCATGCAGCAAGCCCCACTCGCCCTCGACGACACCCTCCTGGAGCGTCGCCCAGGACCCTGAACACTCGCCGGCTCTGTGGATGTTGACCGCAGTTCAGGGCCGCCCTCCATGGCAGCACGGGGACAGAGCAGGAAGCCTGAGGCCTCCTCTCAGGACGCTGGAAGTGGCCCTGACGTGCACTGGGTGGGAGAGCCTCGCCGGGAAGTCCCCTGCCTTGGGAGAGTCCATGCCCTGAAAGAAACAGCTGGGAGCTGGGTGCCCTTCGGCACAGCACTCAGACAGCACACGCTGGCTTTGCCTCCGGTCGGGCACCTGCAGCCTCTGCAAGGGAAGATCCGAGCTGCGCTCCTCCAGCCCTGGCCCTAATCTGAACCCTAACCTCTCACCACGAGCTGGGAGAAGCTGGCTCCTGTCCTCGAATCCCGCCTGACCACCAGCAGCCAGCACGCCTGGGTGCAGCCGAGGGCTGGCATCTCCCAGATTTTCAGAGGCCAAGGTCTGCCCAGTGGGCCTGGCCAGGGCAGGGCACAGGGCAGGGTGGGGATGTGGGCAGAACACACCCCTGCTACCTGGGAAGGGGCAGGTACCCAGGAACAGCTAGCCCTGGAACAGCGAGGCCTCGGGGCTCAGACCCTGTCCCCCCGGCACTCTGACAGGCAGGAGGCTCCTACAAGGAAGAGGGGCTGCTACTCCCCTCACGCATTTCCAGGCCCAGGGCCAGGTCCGACACTCGGAGCTGGGGTAGAGGTCCCAGGGGGCTCAGGAGCCCAGGAGAGCAGGCATAAAGGGGTCAGAGGACACTCCCATCCCCGTGGAAACAGGGACAGGGCCACCAGCTAGTCCCTGATCAGACCGAGGTGCTACTTCTCATAGAAGACACAGTACCAAGAGCGCCCTGAACTGGAGGCTCAGAAACGGGCAAGGGCCAGACTGGGGCAGACTGGCAGGCCCTCGGAACGTGGTCCTGCCTTCCCTCAGAGAAGGGGACCATCCCGGGGGCCCAGCTCACTGGACGGAGACCTGCTCCTAAGCAGAGGCCCTGAGCCCAGATGCTGCCCTTCTGCCCCCCAGCATTCCTGGTTCTGCTTCTGCCTGCCTCCCTGAGCCCCCCACCCTCCTCAGCAACCATGTGCAGATCACACCACACAGAGTGTGGGCATCTGGGGCACACCCCACAGCAGGCAAGGCCCAGCCCTGGAGCCGGTGTCCTGTGGGCAGTGCCCAGCACCTTCCAGCGCCTTCCACAGACAGGGAGCCAAAACCAGCCTCGGGACTGGCGCCCGCCCGTCCGTAGCACTGTGGGGCACCCCAGGGTGCAGTGCAGGCTGGAAGTCCTGTCGGCTGTGGGAACTGTCCATGTTGCTCCTGCAGGGACAGGCCGTGGGGGTGACAACCCCAGGGGCTCCTTGCTCGGGCCACCAGCAGCCACAGAGGGTGCTCCGGCCTCCTGAGCCAGGCAGTGGGCACCAAGCCCGGCTGGTCACCCGGCAACAGGGCCAGGCATCCCAGCTATCCCTGGGGTTGGTTCCCAGAGAAACGCTTGGGCATCCGGGGCAGCCACCTAGGGGCCAGCAAGGGAGGGGGCGCTGAGATTAAGCCAGGGGTGGGGACACGGGGCAGAGGCTGGGGAGTATTGGCCAAGCCAGCTGGGCCCAGACACAACTGGGGTTGAGCACCCCATCCCCCACACTTGTGCCCACCTGCACCAGGCTGCCCAAGGCTCCTTGTCCCCTCCAAGCTCCCGCCACGCTCCGCAAAGACCCAGTGCCCTCGCACCAGACTGCCTGCCCTGACCCTCAACAACCCCCGACCCCCGAGCCCCACAGCCTCAGTGTCTGGGGGCACAGGCCCAGGCCTAGGTGGGAGGGGGGACTCCAGTCCAGACAGGAACCAGCCAGCAAGTCTGGCGCGGCAAGGGAGGAGGCCCTGGGTGGGTCTGCCCGCCTGCCAGAGGGACAAAGTGGCCCGTCTCATCGCCAGTTCTGTGCCCGCGCTCTGGCCTGGGCCCGGTGCCAGCCCCACAGATCCGCAGGCTGCTCTGGGAGCCCGGATTACAGCAAGGATTAGGCCGTGACCCTGCTTCCCAGGAGGCACTCAGGCGGCAGGGAGGGGCAGGCAGGCGGGAGGTCGGGGGCAAGGGGCAGACGGGCCGCCAGGTTCACTGGGGTTGGTGGGCGCAGGGCCCCGCCCCGCCCTGCAGGCCACCTACCTGTGGGAGGAGCTTGTCACCCTCCAGCAGCTTCACCTTGGTCTCCAGCTGCCGCGTGTAGGTACACGAGGGATCTGCAAGGACACAGGAAGCAGGGACGTTAGCCACCAGCAGGCGGAGCCCAGCCCTCAGTGACAGCCTCGCCACCCAGCCTCACCCACCCGTCCTGGGGTGATCCCTCCCACTTGCCATGCTGCAGGCTCAACACCACAGCCAGGGCCAGCCCACCCTGGGCCCTAGAGTCCCCCAGCCCCTCCCTGCTAAGCCATGGGGAATCTGAGGCCCAAGCTGCCAAGGCAGCGCCTGGAGGGCTCGCTTCCACCTGCCCTATTCTCAGGGGAGCCAATCACACCCCAGGAGCCTCCTCGCCCACAGCTCCGCAGCTTCCAGCAACCAGGAGCCAGGTGCCGGCCGACGCCCGCAAGACACCTGTGGGACCGTCCCACGGCGTGGACCCAGTTTCCGGTCAAGGGCAGCGAGGCCAGGCAGACACCTGAGAAGGGGATGTGTACACCACACCGGCCCCACTTGCGGTTGTATCAGAAAAGCAAATCTGACCCCCACCCCCGTCCCCACACTAGGCCAGGCACAACCCGGGCCCTTTCCCCACCGGACAGGGCAATGACCTCCAGCCTAGGAGGTCTGTAGGGACCCACGGGGGTCAGGAGGCGGAAATCAGGCAGGAAAGGGACATGTGGGCCGAGGCAGCCGAGCGCCCTGTCCCAAGCACGGCGGAGAGCCGTGGCACCGGTACCACATCGGGTGGCCACATAGGCACCTGGGAGAGGACGGACAACCACACCTCTTTCCAGAAGTCACAGAGCCCAGGTGCCAGTCGGGACCCGTCCACCTCCACTGTGGGACCCCCATCCCCTACACTCAGCCCCACAGGAAGCAGGGTCTTCCCCCTTGGCCTCAGAGGCACCGGCTGTCACCTCAGGGCACTGGGGGCTGCAGAACAGACCCCTTGGGCTTCTACCATTCCTGGGCAGGCAGGGGACTTGGGTGCTCCCGCGGATAAGCCAGGATCACCGTGCTGACCAACCATGGGAACCATGCAGCGCCCATCCGCCCCAGCAGGAGCCCGCTGGTGTCTTGGGGGCGACACGCATACCATGTGCTCTCTCCTAGCCTCAGGCTCCAACACGGGACAAATGTGGGGCTGGTGAGCACAGACGTCACCAGGAACGTGGGCACTTTCCCATGCTGGCCTGGCCCCGACCTCACAGGCCCCTGCCTGTGTGGGAGACCATTTCCTGTTACCCTGGCCTCTCCCCCGAGCACCCATGGGGGACAATCAGGAGCCCTCTCCATTCAGCCCAGGCCACAGGACCCAGTGGGGCATCCGTCCAGCCCTGGCAGGAAGCAGGGTGAAGGCGGGGGAGCTGCAAGCCAGACCCTCCCTGGGCTCCCTCCCCGGTCACCCCTCAGGAATGTGGGGCTCAGAGAGGAAGGACGGCAGCTCCCAGGCAGGCCCAGCCCACTCGGGGTGACAGCTGCACCTGGCACCCAGCAGCTCGGGTGGGGACCCTGCAGGGCTCATGTCACCACACCCCACTCCCAGCTCCACACCCAGCTAAGGAGGCAGGGCCCCAGAGGCGAGGAGACTGACCCTGGCCCATGTCCAGGAAGTGGGGAGATGAGCTGACCCATGGCCTGTCCACCCAGACCCTGACCAGCCCCAGCGGCCACATGGGATCTCCCTTGGGGCAGCAGGTAAGGGGTGGGGTCCTACTGCTCCCAAGTAAAGGGACAGATGTGCTGTTCACAAGTCACCCAGCACCCACTGCCAGCCTCCGAGTGAGCACTGCCCAGAGGCCACAGCCAATGCCCAGATCCAGCCGCGGCCTCTGAGAAACCATCGCTCGGGGTCACCCTGACCCCACCCGCCGGTGCACGGAACGAGATACAGGGTTCGCCCAGCTTTTTATTTCAAAAAAATAATAGCAGCCTTAAAAGTATTTCCAACCATGCAATAATTCTAATGGAATCTACCCCTAAAATTAATTCTAATTATGAAGACTGTGGGCAGAGTCACAATGGCCAAGACTGGAAATAACGATTTGTCCCTCAATCACGGCGAGTTCCACCCTGTCATTATTAAAATGCTGTTTGGGAAGAGTTTCTGTCCTAAACAATACCGAGAAACGCTCAAAATGCCAGTGGGAAGGACTGGACCCAAAACGGTATGCCTAACGGCTGCTGCATTTAAAAATATCTACGCAGTGAAATAAACTCAGGGAGAGTGTGCACGGAAATACTACCGCTCCAATGGGGGAGCAAGTGATGTCTGTATTTATTCCCACCATTTCTTGTCATTTTCAAGTAACCTATTTCTTCCTTTCATAAACTACAACAATGCACGAAACTGCAGTGCCTTCCCCTTTCCTGTCCGCCCCCACTGTGGTCACTGAAGTTTTATGGCCCTCACGTCTGACCCAGTCCCCACCCAGCCGGGTTCTTCACAATGCCAGGAGCCAGCCGGCCAGCCGGGCACGGTGTCCCCCTCCGTCAGGAGCAGCGAGGAATAATGACAGCGAGGGGACCTTCCCAGGGGGCCGTGGACCCAAAAAGAGCCTGGCTCCCTGAGGACCATCCTTCCCAGCGGCCTCGAAACTTGTGACCTCACCAGGCGGCTCCCAGCTGCTGGGTGATGAGCATGCAATTAAATTAATCCCAGGGCTGGCGGTAATGAGCTGGAGCCATGAGGGAGGGAAGCATTATCGGCCGGTCTGGCTGCTTGGGGAGATGACCACAGGAGGAGCTCTGGGCTGAGCTGGCCAAGGTGTTCCCTCAGATACATGCCTCCTGGCCACAGGACAGAGACCCGACGGGACAATTCAAATAGGGGCCCCATCCGGCTTCTGGCTGTCTTACTTCCAGGAGCTTCACTACCCCTCGGGTCCCCGGCTCCCTGCAGATCTGCCAGGTCCCTCCCGACCCGCACTGTTCCGGCCCCATCCACAGAGCCCTGCCAGAAGGTCCTGCTGGTGATCACCGGGCCAACCTGCCTTCTCAGAAGCCGTGAGACGGGGGCAGGCCCACATCGCCCTTCCCGGCCCGTTTCCTGCCAGGCAAGGTGATGTCACCCCCAGCTTCCTCTCCAGCCTTTGAAATACGCAGATGACAGGAACCAGGGACCAGGCGCAGGCCTACGAGCCGCCCCTCCTGCCCTCTGGGCCAGGATGCAGGGCAGCTGGCCTGAGACAGGAATGAGGTCCCAGGGCCTTTGCAGGTGGCCCCAGGGAGCCCAAGCTCAGCCAGGGAGCAGAGCAGCGAGGCAGAGAGGGAAAAAGCCGGGAACAGGGGCAGCGGTACCCTGGGAGCCACCTGCTCAGTGGCTCCCCATGGGCGGCAGATGCCCAGGCACGGCCCCCTGGAGAGGGCATAGAAACTGCTCCCAGGCAGGGTGCAGGGCCGGTGCAGCACTGGGCTGAGAGAGTGTGACATACCCCCACTGCAGGGGAACCGAGCCTGGGGCTGCAGTGACAAAGAGGAACACGCAGGCTGACTTCCCAGCTGCTGCCCACCCCAGAGCCCGGCCACCCCCGCCTCCCTTCCGGCCCCTGCTCCTCGGAAAGTCCTGTGTCCCGCTTGTCCTGCCCTTGCCGCATTCTGCAAGGTCTGGGGCTCTAGGAGACGCTGACTTTCCCTCCAAGCCCTTCCCCTTGCGTGTCACGAACGGTTGGCCGTGGCCTCGGCATGGCTCTGGCGGCAGAAGGGCCTCATTAAAACAGCCTGCAGGCTGTCCGCTCCCCTCTGCCATCTACCCCTGCTCAGAGACTCGGGTTGTGGAAACTGCAGTCCCACCAGGCACCTCTCAAGCCCAGCCACCTGCCGTGCCAGCCGGCCTCTCCCCCCCCGCCTTCACTGCCCCACTGGACGTCAGCAGCGCTGCAGAGTGTGAGAAGGCTTTGGGAAGGAGAAACACAGGAGGGGCTGAGCGAGGCCTTCCCGAGGAGCACAGCCCTGCCCTGCTGCAGTCTGCCCCCTGTGTGCTGAGCACCGCTCTGTGCCCGGCCGGGGACCCCACACACCACTTGCCGATCTCCGGCTTTGGGGACCAAAGAGCCCACCGGGGCACCCAAGTTCAATTCCACAGCAAGCGACAGGGCTTCGCTGCCAAGGGTGAAATCGGGAGCGAGCGGCCAGATGGAAGCCCTGCCCCGGCCCAGCTCATCCAGAACGCTGCCCGGCCTGGGTGCTGGCAGTCAGTGCCCGTGCGCTAGGCCACACGCCATGGCGCTGCCTCCTCCAGCTACCGCTCAGGAAGCCCGACAAACCTCAGGAAAACCATGTGACTGCCACTAGCCCGGGGACACGGGAGAAAAGAATCCCTTCCCTGCCTTCAGTGTGGGGCAGGCGACAGCCTCACCCGTGACCCACAAGGCTGGCAGCGTGCCCAGCACACACACTGTCCACCTCACGCGTGAGGATGGAGAACTGCTGAGGGAGACGGGACAGGCAGGAGCTGGCCACGCCGGCAGGGACTCCTGCCCACGTGGAGGTCACGTGCCACCTGCTCCCACAGGCACCCACCTGCACGTGCTGCCTGGCTCTTCCGGGGGCTTCAAAAATCTGATTTCTTCCGGAAACCAATCGCATTGGCCTCTCTGGGGAGGGGCGGCACCAGGGACATTTTAAAGGCTCTCCGGGCAAGTCCATCCCAGCCCCGGGCAGGAGCCTCGGAGCCACACCGTGTGGGCAGTCGGCTCCGCCCCTCCCAGCCTCCTGACCCACCCGCAGGGGAGCTGAGCCCCACAGCAGACGCAGCTGAAGCCACAGCACGATGGCGAGGTCGATCATGAGCCCTGAAGGCTGCACGGAGGGCAGGAAACACTGCTGCCTGAGTCGGGGAGGCAGGGACGGACAGTCCCCTCACAGCATAACGGGAGCCAGAGGAATGCTGTCACTGCCGGATACCAAGCAAGTCCCTACCATGTGTCCGGCATGGTGGAAACAACTCTCCCATCCTGCCTTCCAGGACCCAGGGTCCAGGAGGGAGAGGTACAGCAGGAAAGGGATGTGACGCCAGGGGGCCTGTGGCTGCAAACGGTGGAGCCTCGGGAGAAGG